TTTAATAATTAATTAGGCCTTTAATTAATTATCTCCCACTATTTTTAACAAATCAATAACCCTCGATATTGATTTGGAGATTTCCGACGAAACCTCTAGTGGGCCAAGATCCATATTTCATTATCTTGCGTTCCGCTTGGGCGTTACTCCACAAGACAACTATTTAGGTAGGAACATAGTTCCAACTGATGAGCCGGGCTCTCAGCTCTTGGTCTGGTGTTGGGCGAACAATATTACTACAACCGGACCAGGACACCTTTTCACCATACTTGTAATTGGCTGAGGCACGTCTTACAAGCAGACTACTTTGGTTAGGAATAGAGTTCCAATTAAATCATAAAGATCCAATTCCTGGCTGGATGAGTGAGTAAATCATCCGACTTGTCATTGATGACCCCAACTTACTGCCTCTGAGTCGTCCATCCATTTGACCGAGACTCAGTTAAGTCTAACCCAACGTGCGACAGCGACCACGCTATGGCGGTTCCCGTAACCAGCTTAATATACACTGTACTATGCTCTGCTGAGGCTGAGTACATGACAGTGCACATTAGCCGGATAGGTGCCGAGCGTCAGAAGGCGACAGACTTAATATTCGTGAGGGATTTATAATTTCGATCTCGCCTATCGACATGGCCGCGCACATGTCCATTACTAGCGTTCAACATACATTCAACGTGCATTCACAAAACGCAGTAAATAAACGTGTAATGAGTGTGGCCCCTAAAAGAAAAATAAAACGATAGCTTCCACTAGCTTCTAGGCACTTGGACTTCGGGCTATCTCCATTCTTTTAGATTTCTTCAAACGGTTTTCAAATCTTTTCATCTTCAAACCACCACGTGAGAAAAGAATCCTCGGTTGAGGTAAGAGAGAGAAATAGATTTACAACAAGAGTTTATGAGATAAGGCACGACACGCAGGCCGCATTATAATCAAATAAACTATAGCCACAATCATCCACCATGCATATCATACATCCACACAAGCAATAGAGATATACATACACCGGGTGAACCGCGCTCACCCCAGACAGTTCTAGAAAAATACTACGGCAGTAAATATTTTCTAAAACTCATAAAATTAAATTAGATGTCCAAATAAATCTAATAAAATTTTATAAAAAGCATTTTATGCATTCTGGATATTCTTCCAGCATAAAAAAAATCCAGAATATTCCAAAAGACCAAAATGCCCTTTTTGGAAAATTATATTCAAAAAGGCCATTAAAATTTTGAAACAATTTTGCAAAAATCATGAAAATTAAATTTCAACTTCCAGTAGTTATTTTTAACATTTATAAAACTGGAAATAAAATTTCCAAAATTTATAAATCATTATTTCCAAAATATATTAGTTAAATCTCAATAAGTTATAAAAAGCCATTTAAATTGATTTTGAAAATATTAAATTACAAAAATTTAATATTTTGAAAAACATTCTTTTTTCTTACTGAGATATAACTTTCCAAAATATATATTAGTCATTTATGTAATTAAAATACAAATATATAAATATATATAATATTTCGGTAATAATACCGAGTACATATATAAATATATATTTATTTAATTACTAACTAATATTATTTTGAACAATATATTTATAAACAACCTTATTCAACTTAGAAATAATATTTCCAAGTTTAATAAAGTTCATTTTGAATTTTCCCATATTTATTTTCGGTTTTCACCTAAATAAATACAATAAATTCAAAATAGGAAATAATACATTCAAAAATTACAATATAATTTTATCAATCATAAAATGATGTTTTATGTCCAAATAAAATTATATTTACTATTTCTACAATATATATAAATATATATTTCGAAAAATCAAAATATATAT